GTTGAGTTATTATGAATATGAGAAATTTGCCAAATAATAGTCTGAAGGCGCACTTTGCAGGGTTGAGCTTCATCTGATACCAACAAATGACAGAGAAGGTTTTTTCAAGATCCGTAACGTAGGAGTCGGTCTGTTTGGACTTCACCAATATGTCATCGACATATACCTCCACATTACGATCAGATTTATCTTTGAAGATCTTGTTGATTAACTTCTAGTAGGATGCTCCTGCACCCTTGAGACCAAGGGCATCACTTTATAACAAGCAGTATCCTGATGTGTGATGAAAGAGGGTTTTTCATTGTATTCCACCATCTTTATCTAGTTATAACCTGAGAAGGCACCCATGAAGCTAAGCATTTCGTGGCCAACACTCTCGTTAGCCAGTTGGTCAAATCGAGGGGGGCAGCTATCCTTAGAGTAAGCTTTGTTGAGGTCGGTGAAGTCGATACACATTCTCTATTTGCCATTGACTTTCTTGAATAGCACCACATTTGCTAGCCATTTTAGGTACTAGACTTCTCGGATGAAATCGGGTTTCAACAGTCGGTCGATTTCTTCTTCAGCCACCTACTGTTTCTCCAGTCCGAGATGTCTTTTTTTTTCTTGGACCGACTTGTGTTAATCAGTAGACAATTCATGAGTTATCACTTCTAGGATGATTCCTGGGGTATCCTCATGTCCCTAGGAAAAAACATCCGCATTAGCGCGAGTGAACGAGATACTTGCTCCTCACTGCGGCTCGGTCAGCTCTGACTCAAATTTGAACTTTTTTGTTTTATTAGGGTTGAGTTGGATTTCTTCCAATTCTTCCATTGGAGTGGTTTGTTCACTTTTTTCATCTTTTTGTAGGTAGGTTTGGGACTTCGCAATTGGTAGTCTCTGAGGTCCCTTTACTCTTTATGGAGAGCAGATAGTACGATCTAAGCTCCTGTTGATTACTCCGCACAAGGCTGACTCCTTTTGGAGTTGGGAATTTCATCATTTGGTGGTAGGTAGAGGGAACATCTAGGAGGTCGTTCAAGGAAGTTCTCCTAAGGATGACGTTGTAAGCTGATTTAACGTCCATCACAATGAAGTGGACCTGAATCGAGGACCGGTGAGGATAATCACCAACTACCATGGGTAGAGTGATCAACTCTTCTCGTCGAACTGAGTGCCCCGAGAAGCCCACAAGAGGACTCGGGCAAGGTTGCAACTCTGATTTGTAAACACCCATTCGATTTAATGCGCCTATGAACAGGATGTCTGAGGATCTTCTTGTGTCCGCCACGATTCTTTTGACTCGGAATCCATTGATTTGTGCAGAGATGATGATGATATCATTATGAGGTGTCATTACAACTTTCAAGTCGGCATTGCTGAAGGTGATAGGCTGATCTGCTGAACGTGTCATTACAAAGATTTACTTCAAGGGCTCGTCAGGTGTACTTCCAAGCATTATTTGACATTCTTCCCGCTATCAGGCCACCGCTGATAGTGTTGATGGTGCCTTCTATCATTGACTTTCCTTGGCTGATGTTTTTCCCGACTCGTGCGAGGTGATCTTGATCTAGGTCTCCTCTCCAATTTATACGGGACCGGTTCCTCCTTGCTGTGGTTATCGAGGAATTTCTTTAGTAACGCTCTTTGAATGAGGTCCTCGATGACTCTATAGGATTGTAGTCATCGGTGCCGTGGCTGTGGTCTCGGTGGTAGCGGTAGTATTACTGGAGGTCTCTCTTTCTAGGATTTTAAGTTGTATGAGGCAGAGGTTTGGTGAGATGCTTCTCCTTCTAGATCAGGTGTAATATTTGAGAAGGGAGCGTTGAGGAGGGCGAGCGCTAGTCTCCTTGTATCCCTTCTCTGATCTCTCCTATCGGCTCGGTCGGATTTGGACTTGAACTCGAACTGGTCGCCTTTAGTTTTCTTGCCCTTAGAAGATTCAGCCTCGACAGCTTCTTGTTGAGCCGCTTTCTCATAGAGGCGATTGTCCTCCACATCCATGTGTGACTGAGCTCTGACCATAAGCTGGTCGAAGTTAACTACAGGATTCATGATAAGTAAGTTGGACAGTTTCTCGTCTTCTAGACCCGAGATTATTGTCGCCATCGCCACCATATTGTCGGGGTCTTCTACATCTAATCACTTGGCTTGAAATCTTTTAAAATACTATTTCAGAGTTTCATCAAGTCTTTGTTTGATCTTCAATAGGAGAGCTGAGGGAGTCTTCTTCTAGCTAAGGGAGTCTTCTTCTTTGTGTCTACTAAGAAGTGGATTCGTCACATGCTACATGCACATCAAGTCAAAGAAATTCTGCGCATGTTTTGCCGGGTCGTCTACATCCTTGTATTTCTCGATGTGTGGCATCTTGAACTTAGGGCAGAGCGCATTCACGATTTCATTCGAGAGAAGAGTATTCCCTTCAATGATGTCGGCCACTATTGTTGAATGTTCGATCATAACTATAAGCCAAGTTGGCTGCAGAGGGATCGACCTAGGTTACTAGGGTTTGGATCACGTAGCTGTGTCTTACACCTTGCGATGTTGACTGTGCGGTTTGACTAAGGTCAAGGCTTGAGCTTTTGCTTGTTGCCTCTAGGTGATGCTAAGCTTGTCGTGGATCGGCAGTGAAGTGGGTTTAATGTCGTGGTGGTTGGGGGGGTGTTCTCCTTAATCCGTTCTTTCTATTCCTGTCGCCGGAACAGGCCCTTAGGGGGAGAGGTGATAGGTGATGGAGGAGGTGGGAAAGGAAAAACACGGCTAAGGAGGTTGTTCGCGAATGAGGCGAACTATTGTTGGAGAGACCGAGCTGTCCTTTGTGAGGATTCATCTAGCTGAGCTTGAGTGACATAGTCAGAACTGAAAGATTCTCTGGGTGCGAGTTAGGGCTTAGAGGGCGATTAGGCTCAGCCATTTTTGTTTAAAGAAGCAGGCCCCACGGTAGGCGCTAAATTGTTTATATCAAAAGTTAATTATATGAGTGGATGGATATTTGGAGGCCCTACTGGCTGATTAACCAGGAGAAAAAAAATCCCTATGCACGTAACCCGTTAGGGAGCCGGAGGAAGTTTCCCCTGTGTGCCCTCTAACGGTCAAGTCGGTACTAGACTAAGCAAGTTTGCAGATTGCAAAAATCTAGTTTTAGGTGTTATTCAGCGTATCTTAGTACAATGGGTTGTCTATTTATAGACAATATGTGGGGACACATTGATAATTTGATCAAGTAGGTGCAGTTAGTGAATCAGACCCTACTTTGCGCATGTCGGCGATCGATTGAACGAGTCAATCTTTGTATTTAATGCGATAATGACAGAATAGCTAAAGTGCTGACGTCGTCCGATAAGTCTGTATGACTCCAGCTCGAGAAGCCATAATGACTTTGGCCATGAATTTAATGCGATAGTGACTGGGCGACAAAGTATGGGCACCTACTAGCCATGCATTAAATGCGAGTGACGTTCATCAAGCTTATAGGTCATTCCGTCGTTCGAGATGTTCTTTAGTGAAGTCCATGCAGAAGATGCCTTTTATCTCGGATTTGGAGTCTTTTAGCGGATCACAACCAGAAGACGCCTTTCGTCTCGGACTCGAATTGCTAGAAAGATCGGCCGTTGTTTACACCCGGGTTGAGCTCTCAAATTATAGGACTCGACGAGTTAATTACGATACGTGCCTAGCTCTCAAGAGCTTATTAGACCCGGTAATTCTCAGGATATAATGCCGACCAATCTAGTAATATTTCAGTACTAAAAAGCCTTCAATAAATTTATTGAGTAGTTTCTATTTATGGTACGATAACCATAAGTTCATAACACATATATCATGGGATTTATGACAGATAGTTCTTTTTTCTTTGACACCTATTTATGACTACCATTTCTCACCATGCATATTGCACAATTGATGAGTAACTGTTGATGCATGATAGCAGCGAAATGCAATATCATAATCATAGTTGCGCGATTCCTGGACCCCCTTCGAAACATCATACAGTTCCTGCGTACCGATTCCCTATATTTTTGCGAACCGATTCCCTCCTATACACGAATCAGTTTCCAAAAAAATAGCGTACTGCTTATAAGTATGCGGGGTGCAAAGTCTTTTAAGAGTAAATGCACAAGACACAATGCAACATGCGCAGTCAAGTAAAGGGCAACATACAATAGGATATATGAGTCACTTACTTTACTATAACTAAATACCTATGCTAATAAAATGTGGAATGAAACCATGATCCCAACGCAAGCTATGTGAAAAGAAAAATAGAACAAAATAATGAAATCCATAAAAAAGAAGCATTTTAAGTTTATTTTTGAAAAAAATAAAATGCATGATTAGCTTTCTAAGTTAATTTTCAACTATACACTTTCAAAAATGGTAACTGCACTCAAAACAATTTACTACGTACCACTGATAGAACTTGCGTACCGAAGCAAGCTACCTCCCAACGAATGCAAATTTTGTAAGCAGCGAATTGTGTAGTCGAATTCTTACGACTCGCTACGTACCACGGACTATGTAACTATGATCATAATCCATGATTGTATGCTGTGGCAATGTTTCTTTGCACCGAACGTAGAACCACAATTGCTCAATACTTCATTCGAGATGAAATTTCATTATTAGCTTTGGAAGCTTGCATAGGATCCTTCTTTATTATCTTAAACTCTTACACATATTTGATACTAATTTTTTAAATGCTTGGGTACATAGATTTGTAAATTCCTTTTTATCTAATCATTACCATATTTATGTTATCTCTTCTGTCTAAATTTATTTTAATTTCAAGTTCCACCCAATGTTGACCCTTGTGCAGCTCTTAGGACATGTCAGAATTTTTAACTTTGAAGTGATGTTCACCATTGATTGTTTTACCTTATTATATTGTATTCCGAGCTATTTCAGGTTGTTTTAACCATGTTATATTGTATTTCAAGCTATTTGAGGCTTTCTTTCCTGATTTGTTTTATATATTAACCTTTCGGTTTTTCGAATCTTACTGTCAATGATATTGCCAGGATTATTTTGCTGATGAAATTGGTGTTCTATCACCCCATCAGTTACAAGTTGATGAATTGTATGCGGGTGAGGTAATTTTCACATTTTTTAGATTTTATTGAGTTACTGAGAATACAGCACTGGTTTCTTTCTTGGGTTCTTATAGATTGATTAGGATCTTACTTTACAAATTCCATAAATGCAAGAACTTTACCTTCTGTACCTGAAGATAGGAGCTTAACTCCAAGGCTCTTTCATGCTGCCATAGGTTACCTCCTCATTTTTAGTGTTTTTTTTGTCATTTGAGGGATAAAATACTTCGGTTCAGGTGGGTTATCTTTCAGCTTCAATAAGATCAGTTGCAGATGCCCGGGTTGGTGACACAATTACTCACTTTGGAAGAAAAGCGGAGCGTTCTTTGCCTGGATATGTGGAAGCTACCCCAATGGTCTTTTGTGGTCTATTTCCGACTGATGCTGACCAGTAATGACTGTACAAGAATTCTTAGCTGAACTTTAAACAATCTCGTCTTTTCTTCATTATCTTTTGCTTTCTGACATAGGTTTCCTGAGTTGCGTGATGCACTGGAAAAACTTCAACTTAATGATTCAGCTCTTAAGGTATGCTGTGACTACATATGTGAAATGGGGAATAGCCTGTTTGATATGAAAGATGATAATATAGAATTGTGCCACATTTCTAGGTTTTATGATTTCTATGTAGACTTACAGCATTTTTGATGTACAGTACTATCTTTAGTTTGTATTATCAGTTTATTGTTGACATGAACTTCTATGTTGCACATTCTGCGAGGAGCTTTTGATTAAAATTTTGTTGCTATCATTATGCTTTTAGTGTACATACATCCCAGATGCTATTCGGTCGATCCTAGGACTTGTTTTTGTAGGCAGTGTGTAGACACCAATGTTCACTAATGTGCGTCTTTTCCATGATCATCTTCTTTTATTATGTAAAAGGGAAAAAAATCACTTCGAAGGATTTCAGATGTAAGAGAAGATTAGTTAACACTAGCATTTTAGTAACTATTTTCTGGTTCCTCAGATTTTGACTTCAAAGAGTATTTTTTGTTTCATGCAATTTTTACTTTAAAAAGTTGGATTATCAAAATATAAATTTAAAATTAATATTCTTTAATATAATTTTGTAAATAATGAGAAATATTTTCCACCACTTCATTAATTCTAACAAAAACTCTTTTGAGAGATTTCAGATATAATTTATTTAACTGAATAGTAGCATACATCAGGTGACATACATCAAGTTGCAAAGCGATCTATATATGTATGACATTTCTACAAGCCAAAATAATCAAGCAGCGGACATTCTTTCAGATGTGTTGTGATAATGGTGAGTTTCTGGTCTGATATTATAGAAACAAGAGCTGAGTGGGTGCAGCTATGAGTTGTTGGTTCTTCCATAAGTAGTCAAATTATGGGGTGAGGGAAAGTGGTGATTAGTAAGTTTAGTTTGGCATTGTGTAATGCGAGAAAGAACAACATTTGTGCTGGTAATCCCTTGATTATGGGTGGGGGCATAACATAATTCTCTACAATAGTGGCCCGTTTTTGTATGTTTGGCTGATATTACATGACCTGCAAACTTTGGTTCATTTGGCCAATCATTTTTTCATGAGTCTCAGCTGAAAATAAGACACTCCATCTTCGCCTGTACTACATTTCTATCATTTGGCTAAATTGCAATGTTATGAATTATTAAACTATGAGACGAAACAACAATTATGTACGTCTTTTGATGTAAAAGATATATTAATCTCACTGTTACTCTTTCTTTTCATAGTTCCAGTGGCAAGAAAGAGTACCATACATCAAAGATTTTGTATGTTTTTTAATTAAACACATCATATTTGCGCTGTGAGTCAGTTTTTGTTCTACTTTCGTCATTGGTTTCAGCTCTCATATGGCAGATGTGCCTTTAATACCCTGAAATTCTCATATCACTTTCACTGGTTATTTGCAGTTTGAGCCAGAGACTTCAAGTGCAATGGGTTTCGGTTTTCGTTGCGGGTTTCTAGGTCTTCTTCACATGGAAATTGTTCAGGTTGACATAGTTTTTCTTTCTGGAGACTCTTAGTTGTTTGTCAATGATACTTAACAAATTTGTTTTTCAGATGTTTTCTAGTGGGATCTAAATATCTCCATTTTGCAGGAAAGGCTTGAGAGGGAATACAATCTGAGCTTAATAACAACCGCCCCCAGTGTTGTTTACCGAGTTAACTGTGTTAATAGTGAGACTGTAATATCTTCTTGATCCTTAATCACTTCCAATTTTTGTCCTGCTTTTGCTAGTAGTAGTACTGGTTTGTGCTGGTTTTATGCCAATCAATGCGTTTTCTGTTGTTGTCCGTTTATATTTAAGCTTATTTTCATTTCTCTAATGATTTGAATTTCCTATTTAGTTATAACATTTATTGGAGGTACTTTTAACAATTTTAGTGGTTAACAGACACTAGAAGCTACAATTACTTGGACTATTTTTCTTTGGTTTTCTTTTAAAAATTACCAACAAATTATCCCATCTGTATATAGACAACTATAGAACACTTCAGATAAACATTGCTTTGCTGGAACTATAGAACACTTCAGATAAACATTGCTTTACTGGTCGTTGAGAGCAACAGATCGTAGCAAGTTTCCAGCCAGGACAATTGGGGGGTTTTGCTACTTGTAATCTTGTACTATGTGCTTGTAGGAGCATAATCAATATGATATATCTGTGGAATGTATATTCAGGCAGTATCTCCCAATAATCTATATGGGTAGTGGAGTGTGATCTAACATGGCACTTTGACATACTTTTTTCTGTTAGATTTAACTTTTTAGAGATCAAAGTGAAAATTTGGTGATTAATGGGATGATTAGAAATTAATTGAGGAGGAGATTGTGCCCTTCAACCAGCTCGATGATGGATGCAAAAGAGTCAACAACAACAACAACATGTCTTTATTCCAAATATTAGGGGTCAGCTACATGAATCCTATTCTTCCATTCTGTTCTGTTATGAGTTATCTCCTCCGTTAAGTTAACCATTATCATATCATTCTTTATTACTTTCAACGAAGTTCTTTTAGGTCTACCTCTAGATCTCTTTGTCTCATTAACTATAATATTATCAATTTCCTAATCGGTGCACTAAAAAGTCTTCGTTGTACATGACCAAGCCACCTTAATCGATTCTCTCTCATTTTATCCTCAATAGGAGCAATCTTTAATTTACTACGAATACACTCATTTCTTATCCTATCTTTTAGTGTATATCCACAAAACCATCGTAACATTCTCATTTATGCTACACATTCTCATGGTGTCTCTTAATTGCCTAACATTCCGATCCATAACGCATTGTTGGTGTTATGACCGTTCTATAGAATTTTCATTTTAGTTTCATACGTGGTCTATGATCACAGAAGACTCCCGAAACACTCTATTTTAACCATTCTGATTTTATTCGATGGACGACATCATCCTCAATCTCACCATCATGATGAATAATTAATCCTAAATAACGAAAGTGGTTACTTTAGATATTTTGTGGCCATCAATATGTATTATAGGCTCTCTTCTCTTTTTAGGTTTACTAAAACTGCATTCTATGATTTTTTTTTTGTTCTACTTATTCTAAAACATTTAATTTTGAGGGTTTGTCTCCATCTTTCTACTTTAGATATTATACTATCTCTGGTCTTGTCCATTAATACTATATTATCAGCAAATAACATACACTATGAGGCTTTATCTTGAATATGCCTAATAAGTTCGTCTACCTAATGCAAAAAGATAAGGGCCTAAGGCTGACTTGATGTAACATAGGGTAATAAGAAACCATCTACTCTCTCCTTTATTTGTTCTTACCCTAGTTGGTATTCAATCATACATATCTTTTATCATATCAATATATATACTAGATACATGTTTCTTTTTTAAAACTCACCAAATTATTTCTCTAGACACTCAATCATAAGCTTTTTCTAGATCAATAAAAACCATATGTAGATTCTTTTTCTTCTTTTTATATCCATCAACCCTCTCAATATATGATTTCATAATTGACCTCTCGAATATAAAACTAAATTGATTTTTAGATATACTTATCTCCTTATTTAGTCTTTGCTCAATTACCCTCTCCCAAAGTTTCATAGGATGACTCATGAGTTTATTACCATGATAGTTTGAACAACTTTTTATATATCTTTTAGTCTTGTATGTCGGTATCAAAGTTCTAAACCTCCACTCATCAGCCATTTTCGTTGTCTTAATAATCTTATTAAATAATCTAGTCAACTATCTTAAGCCTATATCTCCTAACTTCAATAGGGTGGTTATTCGGTCCTACGACTTTTGTACTTTTCATTTTCTTTAGAGCATCTTTAACCTTGCTAATCCTAATTTTTCAACAATATCTACAGTCTTTATCATTCACTATTTTATCATTCACTATATGATTAATTCTCTATGTTGCTCACCAATTTGGTTATCATTAAACAAACTATGAAAGTAACTCTTCCATCTCTCTTGTATTTCTTCGTCAGTTACTAGAACTTTTTGATCTTCACTCTTGATACATCTAATATTACCTAAGTCCTTACTCTTTCTTTCTCTCATCTTAGTAAGCTTATATATATCTTTATCTCCATGTTGGATTCCAACTACTTATAGAAATTCTCATAGGCTTTGTATTTAGTCTCACTAACCGCT